TTTTTTTTTTTTTTTCCTTTGATGACGTTTTCTTTTCTTTTTGTCTCTTATTTTTTTTTTTATTGTTAGCCGTATCTTTCCGTGTTAACCTTAATATTTAAGCATTGCAATAATGAGAATTTATACTCTTGCCAAGATTTTAAGCGTTCTGATTATTGCTTTGATTATTGGTGTGCGTGAGGCTTCTGCCGTTTCACTGCCGAACGTTCATCCACAAAGTTTTTCTAAAGATGAAATTGTTCCTATTCAAGTAAATGTTCTCACCTCTATTAGGACACATTTGCCGTATGATTACTACAATGTTTTTCCTACATGTCTTCCAAAGGCACCAATAGGTGGGAAATCTGGTAATATTGGAGGTGTTCTTATGGGAGATCGCATTAAATCCTCCCCATATGAAAATGTCCGACTACTACATAATGTAACCTGTGAAAAGATATGTGAAAAAGAAATTGCAAATGAGAAACAAAGGAAATTTTTAATAAAAGCAATAAAGGCTAAATACCGTATTAATTTGCTTTTAGATGGACTTCCTCTTGCAGAAGTAAATGAGAAAAATGAGTACGTAATTGGGATTCCTCTCGGATATGTGCATAATGATATTATGTATGTATACAATCATATACATTTTACTATTAAATATACGGTAGAAGAAGTGCAAACTACTTCTGGAGATGTTGTGACAAAGTACCGAATATTGTCTTTTGTAGGGGAACCCTATTCTTATGAACACCAACCTGAACATGGATGTGAAATACCATTAAATAAGGAAACGATATCTTCTTCACGTCCTTTATCTGCGTTAAAGGATCGTATAACTTGGAGTTATGGTGTAACATGGATTAGAAGTGATGACAAGTGGTCTTCTAGATGGGATGTTTATTTAAATGTTCATAGGCACAATATTCATTGGTATTCCATTATAAACTCCACTTTTTTTGTCGCATTTCTTACAATTCTTATTGCTGCAACTATGATTCGAGTTGTTCGTCGGGATTTAAGTAAAATAAGTGGTATTGATTTGGATGAAAATGATGCTCCTGAAGATAGTGGATGGAAATTACTCAATCGGGATGTATTTCGACCTCCACCAAATGGATGGATACTTGCTTGTTTTACCGGTACCGGTGTACAACTTATAGGTATGGCTTGTACTGTACTTATCTTCGCATCTTTGGGCTTTTTCTCTCCACAAAGTCGTGGTAGTCTTTTTACTGCTGTACTCGTGTGTTTTGCATTTTTGGGATTGTACGCAGGTTACACATCAGCAAGATTACTGAAATTGTGGAATGCAACTAAATGGAAGTATGTTTTTGCCACAGGTACAATTATTCCTGGATTAGCATTTGGTACTTTTTTTATTATAAATCTTCTTGTGTGGTCACAATCAAGTAGTGGAGCCGTTCCTTTTTTTTCACTTACTGTGATTATGGGAATGTGGTTTTTTATCAATATTCCACTTGTTTTCTTGGGAGCTATATTGGGTTTTAAGCGAAGTACCATATCAGTACCTTCAACTTTTAACCAAATTCCACGTCATGTACCTCTACAACCTTGGTATACTTCGAAATCAGTTATTTTATTATCTGGGTTTCCCCCTTTTGCAGCTGTTTTTATTGAAGTTTACTTTATTCTTGGTGCACTATGGCTGAACAGGTATTATTACGTTTTTGGCTTTTTATTACTTGTTGCCGTTATTTTACTCCTGACTACGTCAGAAATTTCCATAGTCATGGTCTATCTTTCTTTGTGTGCTGAAGACTATCGTTGGTGGTGGAGATCTTTTTTCATAGGAGCAAGTTCTGGAGTTTTCTTATTTATGTACTCAATTTTCTATGTCGTTGTAGGTAATTTACATATAGATGGATTGATTCCAATGATTATGTATTTGGGCTATATGGCGTTACTGAGTTTTCTCTTCGCAGTAACAACTGGTGCCGTAGGATTTCTTGCTTGTTTCTGGTTTGTGCGCTATATATATCGTTTTATCAAGGTTGATTGAGCGAGTTTGTATTGATTAGGGTGAAGAGTGTTATGGTATAAATACTTTTTTTTAGATCCCCTACTAATTTACCTGGGGGAAATGTATTGCCTTGTGTTTATTTTTTTCTCTTTATCACTATTTTTTTTTTTGCTTGTTGTTGTTCTTGTTATCCAGTATTTTTTTTTTTTCTTGTTTTATTGTTGTTTTTATTATTATTATTATTATTATTATTATTATTATTATTATTATTATTATTATTATTATTATTATTATTATTAGTATTAATTCAGATTTTAGAGCTATGCAGGATTATTTACGGGAGATAGAGGGAACATTATCGAGAACAAATGAGAGAAAAGGCACTTTGCTTTACAAGTTGGCAAAACGCAAGGCTGAAGAAGAACGTCTTTCACGTCTGGGTGTTAGCAGCATTCCATCTAATCCTCTAGAGGTCACAGATGTCAATGTAGTAAAATATGCACTTTTTAGATTAAAGCAAGAAATTGGCGATAAAATTGCCCAAATGCGAAATACTCAATTGCTTAGCATTGAAACTCATGGAGAAGTAGTAATTCGTGCCAAAAATGACGATATAAATAATATTATTACTAAAAAAAACCTATGGGAAAAACGTTTAGCATTTCTTAGTGGGAAAGATTATAAAATGCCACATTCTAAAAAAATCTATTTTGGCTGTGCAAAGGGACTTGTAGAAGCTCAAAAAGCAACTACTCAAAATAGTAAAGAAGTTACTGAGGATAACTTAGATGAGCTTGAATCAAATTCTATCTCCTCTGAATTTTCCGGAGATGAAGGACCTCAGTCAAGCAACGAATACCTTGAGCGACTAGCTGCGTTTGACTCGGAAGGTTCTCTTCGTGATGTTGAAATGGCTGCCGAACGCAAGTTACGTCTAGAATTTGCGCAGGAAGATGGTGGTGCTCCTTTTAAAAGGGCTCGTAATGATGATACTGATGATTACATTGTAGATATCCAATTGCCTTCAGAGGAGGAGTTTCATCGAAAGATTATTGATGCGAAAAAGGAAATGCTACAAAAGCGTCTTGAATCCCTGAAAAGATAATTTTTCTCACGTGCGTATATATATATATATATATTTCCTTCTGAAAATAATATATACAGTAAAGAAAGAAAAAAAGAAAATTAGAACTTTTGAATTTTATTCTTGCTTTAAATATCCTTTTGATGTATATGTATAATATATTATATTTATGTATCTGTTTTCTTTTTTTTATATATATATTTTTCTATTATAACAAAAAGCAATTCAAGGTTTTTTAAAACCATTAACTTATCAGAAAAATGACCGGGCTAGTTCTTCGACGCAAGCGCTGTCGAAGTATGATGACAGACAAACCAGAAATTGAGGTTGGAGTTGTTTCTAAGATTGATGGTAGAGCAGATGATGCAACAACTCTTCAGGCCTCACCCCATAATGAACAGGGTAACGGCTCTCCACAAAATCCTTACAGGTTGCCCTTGCGACTTGATCCCAACGATAGTGGTTGTTATCACTGTACTTCACAATGCTGTCAATGTGTATTTTTTGAACGTCTTATGGATAGCGTTTACAGTAGTCTACATTTTAAGCGGATCACAGAAGTCGCTGGTTCACGTCATCTTTGTGCAAAGTCACTTTTACCAACTTTTGTTTCTCGCATGGTTCAATTAATGAAAATAACTTCTGAAGATACATTTTATGATCTTGGTTGTGGTAATGGATCTGTTTTATTTCAAGTGGCTATTTTAACAGGTGCTCGTTGTGTGGGTGTGGAGATCAGTGAACACAATGCCAATCTTGCAAAATCTGCATGGGAAACTCTCAAACCAAAAATTGAATCCTTATTGGGAAAAAAAATGCCTGAAGTGAAAATAATAAATGAAGACATGACAAAAATTCTCGCTAATAAAACATTGTTTGACTCGGAGAAAGGAAAAACAGCAATACTTCTTTCTAATTTGTTATTTCCCAAATCTTTAACCCATTATCTCTCTGAACGCTTCCGCAGTGTACCAGTTGGAACGCGAATTCTCTGCTTTGATGATCTCTATCCGCATAGTCGTTCTGTTGCCGCTATTCGTGACCCAGAAGCTTTTGAACTTTTCTCCATGACAGATTATCGTTGGCAAGAACTAAGTGTGGAGTGGTGTACGATGGATGGCCCGTTTTACATTCACCAGAGGAAGTAAAAGGAAAAAAAAAATTGGTGTTAGTCTCTATTCTGATGAGTTGGAAGACTACTACTCGTTTTGCTGTTTACCATGTCTTCTGTTTTTCTTGTACCGCACTGTACGAATTGAAAGAAAATATATAGGGGCAACTGTTGATGCAGATGACGCTGTTGTTTAAAGTTTTTTTTTTTTCAATACAATACGTGTCGTTGTTGTTGTTTTCTTTCTTTCGTCGCATGAATTCTTTTTTTTTTTTTTTTTTTTTTTTTTTCTTTACTAATAGTTCTCTAGGTATTGACTTATCATGGCGTGCGAACAATAGTACTTTCTCTCTTATTTGGTGCTTCCCTGTTGTTATTTGCAAAGACAATCGCAGGAGTAAGCGATAATAATCCTTTATGGCAACTTATCACTGCGCATCGCAGCATAAAGATGAAACTCACTGCTGTGTCAGATTCGTCTATTCTTACGGTGAAGGAAAAATGGGACACTTCAAGTTCCTCATCTGTGGACAGTAAATGACTTTTTTCCCTTATTTCTACAGTCTTGGGTTCCAAATGTATTGGTAATGTGAGAAAGGCTACTGATGCTTAAGAGATCGTTTGGGAGAGAATAATAAATATCGGCAACCTTTGAAAGGAATGTATCGATTGGTTTGACTGAAAGTGTTTTTTTTTTTTTTTT